AGATGGGGTCAAATATTTCAAAAAGGACACATGAAAAATCCTTGAACATGGGTGTCGTTGAAAATGACATTTACACAAGTGTCTTCTTCGGAGGCTTCAACTGCATCCCTTAGTGTGTGTGTGTGTGTTTCGTCTGCTCTCCACCAATCAATAAAAGCAGAAGAGAAGGAGAGGGCAAGTGAAAAAAACGAGGGTGGGGTTGGGCCAGAAAGAAGGAAAGGACAGGGAGCCAACTCACTTGCCCTCTCCTACCCTTCTACTTTCATTGGGCGAGAGTGGACGAAATTACACACGCACACAGCACGAAAAGGCTGTGCTGCAAAGTTGAGGACGAAAAACTGGACTGGCACAGGGAAAGTGCTTCTAACAACTGAAGTTTATTGGAATAAATAGCAGAAAAAGGTGGAGTAACATACAAGGGGGTGGGCACTGCAAGCATATTACGCATGATCCTATAGGGGTGCTATCTATGCTGTAATACACGTGCTTTTATCAAACTTTTTTTTTCATTTTATTTCTTTCTGTAAACATGCCACGTGTCTATCCGGAAGTGCTATCGAAGGTGCGCTAACGCATGTGCCAAACTTCCCAGACACCATATAGTAAGCTTCAGTGATTGTTCTCCTGATTTTATCTAATTGCTGTGAGCCAAACTGGTACTATCCCCGAAGCTAGGTTGACACCTGCAATGAAAGCAGTGTTGAGCAAGATTGCCTTCTATGGCACGCCTATTACAAAAATTATTGTGTTCTTGGAGCCTTATATTAAGACACCTGCCTGTCTGCCCGACGTAAAATGCACAACAGCTCAAGGGAATCAAGTACACCCCTCCAACCCTGCACTCAACAAATTTTTTGACGTGTCTAACCCTACATGCTTCTTCTCTGGCGTCGCCTTTCAGAGCCTTCAGCGTTAACGTTTTTACACAAGCCTACCAGTTTGTTGGGCGCAGAGAAAACTACTTGCACACCATACCGGGAAGCCACCTTCTTTAATATATGCGCTACTGTGTGCGTGTACACCACCACCGGGTTCTTACTTCGTTCCTTCGCCTTCACGGGGCTATTTCAAGCGCTCTATTCGCAATCTCATACTTTCGTCTGTTCTGTGCTGGCACGATTTTTCGGTCACCTACAACATGCACGATTTCGCAATGCCTCTCTTTATGAGCTTCGTGTGATTAGATTGAAACGGCCAGATAGGTTTACCGCTGCAAGTCTTGTACATCCGTTGATTGATTTGTGGGGTTTAACGTCCAAAAACTACGATATGATTATGAGAGACGCCGTAGCGGAGGGCTCCGGAAATTTCGACCGCCTGGAGTTCTTTAACATGCACCCAAATCTGAGCACACGGGCCTACAACATTTCCGCCTTCATCGGAAATGCAGCCGCCGCCACCGGGATTTGATCCCGCGACCTGCGGGTCAGCAGCCGAGTGCCCTAGCCACTAGACCACCACAGCAGAGCTGTTCTTGTACATCCAGCACATATGTTCCGACCCAGCGCTGATTTCTAAATCTAGGAACTGCAGCCGGTTGTCCACCGTGAACTCGAATGTGACATCAAGGCCGCTATGGGCTGAATCAAAAACAGAACAAACTTTGTCTATTACAGAATCAGTGGCCGTGTCAACAGGGTTGCACACACACGCAGACGTGCTAAGGTCTAGGCAGATGCTGCTATGAAGTAGACACTCGCCGAAACGTCACCTCCAAAGACACCCCCCCCCCCCCCTCGTGTTCAAGGACTTTTTACCTTTCCAAGCGTCCATGATCCCTTAAACTTCTGCATTATTAGAGAGAAGAAAACGAACGTACTGGAAACTAATTGAAACGTCAAAGAAAGCTCCACTTTTACGAAAACTCGCCAGAACCTCTATTGTTTCGTCATTGCGATAAACGCAGTAGCTGTAAATGTCGTACCTTTGAAACGTAAGTGCTTTTTGCAGCAGTTTCCAGTCTTGGAAGCTGTTCCGGACTGGCGATGCGGACTCTTCTGTCCGTATAACGTTTGGCTGTTCACGCGGCGGGGGCGAGGCGGTCTCCACCTCGACGCTGCCGGTGGCACGGCAACCCGGCGTTGCTCGGGTGATCAGCGAGCAGTGGTGGCCATGGCGCTCAGGTGGTGGCCCTGTCGCTGACGTGCTCGGCTGTCCGGGGCATGGCATCAGGGCTGTCGGAGGGCACCCAACTTGATCACTCAGGGCACCAGCAACAACCGGGTACCTTTTGCTGATCCTGCTGCCGCGGTACGTGCGAATGTAGACAAGAAACCAGGTCACCGCTGAGGCCTACAGCCTCTGATAGAAGAAAATAGTCCCTAAAGAGGCCCTGCAACTCGTTTCCCAGTAGCTTCATCAAGTGAGTTCATCGCCTCCTGAATGAAGTGCCACAAAAACTTTCTTTAGAATGCGTCAAGTGTGAGCGCAGATACAGGAACTTGTCGCACGCTCTAGGCACTTTGTTCTCATCAAGCGCGTTGAAAGCTGCGCAGGAGGGGAAGAAGGGGCTGGCAAGAAGACAAGAAGTTACGTCTGTACACCAGCGCACGCCATAGCCTTCAGCAAACGGAAAGACGAGCAAGTTTCGGTATTAAACCTCGAGCCCTTTACTATTTTTATTACTACGCAGGCTTACCTTCAGCGCTGAAGGTAATCAGACGCACGGATTACTTTCGGCGGCTTACCTTTGCCCGCTTATCGTGGCCAAAGTTAAGGTGCATCAACGTTCGCTTTCGGAAACACGAACGCTCACTATCAAAGCCAAAACCGTACTCCTTCGCCGCTCATTGTCACGAATGCGGCTGCGTACTCTTCTTCAACGACACAATGATACTGTCGCATCATAAAAAAAATTACGGCATATTCACGGGGTGAATGATGATGAATGGGCGAAGCTCCGGAGGGATTCATCGGTAAACTGTGAATCTTCCGTGTAATTCGCCCAGTCGATCATCATGTAAAGACGTGAGAAACGCTGTGTGTGTATATACACAAATCAACTTTTATTTGTTCTTAGACGATGGATGGCTTGCGATGTCCCTTGCCTCGCGCGTTCGCACATCGGGATTCTGTCTGCGAGCGCGCGCTGCTGCCACCTTGCGCTCTCTCCACTGTGCAGCCTTATCCATCCGGCGACTCCGAGCGCGCGCCAACAGCGAACGGATTTTATTACAACGCTCCCCCTAGCGTACGTCGCCGCACTAAATCGAACGATTGCTTTCAACCAATGACACGCGCCATATGTGACATCATTCCTATTTTATAAGATCTCGCGTCTTTCATCAACTACAAGTACCGCTTTCTAGTTTATAACATCTTGCATCTTTTCATCATCAGCTACAAGTACCACCATCTAGTAAACACTACAAGAACTAAACGAGAGGTGGCTACATACAGGAGACGGTACCGCCATCTAGTGAACACTGCAAGAACTAAACTAGAGGTGGCTACATACAGGGGACGGTACCGCCATCTAGTTAACACTGCAAGAACTAAACTATAGGCGGCTACATACAGGCTACAGGGGACGCACAGCCCACGCCCTAAGGAGCTTCGCCCCTAAAAAATCAGTTGCAAGTGCAACTGCGTGCAAGTGCAGTCACACGTCCCTGCCCCGTTAGAACAGCTGCCATCTGTACGCGATCATGTACGCCGTGCATGTGTCGTCCGGCTACGTCAGACTTGAAAATATTTTTGAGATCTCATACCGTCGAAAAAGTCAAATTTACATTGCGGATTTGGGAAGAGGCATGCTATAGTACTCCCATCCTCGGCCAGGGGGCGCTGCGCCATACGCGTTTTACCGCTTGTCTTGCAAAAAGCCGGTCGTTCAGTGCCCCGCGCTCGCTTTCTGCCTGTGCTATCTCGGCACGTTAACGCGCTGTGCACGCACTGTCATCTGGTCACCCTCCACGTGCAGCAACTTCAGCGGATGACGCTAAACTACAACTGACGTTAACCCAACGTGACAGCTGTATCATAAGAGTGCATATGTAAATGCTTATAAAATTACACGCTATAGCACGGTGACCATGCACGTTTGACGTTTCAGCAACACAAGATCTGTTTTCATAGCAGTCCATAGACCTGGCGTAGCTCTGCGGTTGAATACTTGACTACCACGCAGTATGCTTGGATTAGATTACTGCATGGGCTCTAATATTTTTTCTTTAGATTAATCGGGTGAACGCTGTCGATGTCGGTTTTTCTTAGTGCGCACTCAAACCAGCGATGTCTGTTCTCGCCGTTCCATAGATGTAAACTGTCTATCATGAGGGCCTCTTGTATATCACCAATGTACGCCTTGCTTATGTATACGAATACTTGACTTTGGAAAACGGAATGGCCGTCTGACACTACAACTAACTCGTCCCTTATGATCAAGTACTGCCAGAACTGGTATAAAAAATTTAAGAGTGATATGCAAGCAGTTTTTTTTGCAGTATTGAAGTCTCCCAGAATCACGTCGACCATTGTGCGTGGGCTTCTTAAAAGTAATAACAAAGGCTACGTTTGTGACTAAGAAGGCCGCCGACCCAGCGTTCCTCTACCAAACCTGTAGACTCAAAACCATTTGTACTCAAGACCTTTTTAGTTCAAAATCAACTCAAAACCTTTTGAAATATCTAGGAATCGGTATGTCTTCCGTTAACATTGTACACAATAAAAAAATGCACAGACCACATGTACGCATTGCCGATATATTTATTCGCTTTACCTAAATCACACTATGACTGGCGTACATCGTAACAGTGCTACTCGCGCCAACCGGTTGTAAGTTCGACCACGGCCGCTGGATAAAAAAAAAAAAACAGGTTTTTTATCCAGGCCGTGTTCGTGCACTCCGTTTTTACTCCATCTGACAAGACCGTGTGACAGCTTCATACATAGCACGACGTCTCAAGCACGCCATTACTGTCCTTGACTGATATCTAAGACGAGGGAACACTGAGAAAAAAAAAGCGAACACCACCAACAGTATTTCTTGTTCTGCGGGCTTAGCCATGCACCAAATCATGAGCTTCACGCAGGAGCTGCCACGTAGGCCCCAAATCCCCTGCAAAGTCGTCCATGGTTATGTCCCACACAGCAAGACCGGAAGTCCTTCGCACCACAGCTCGCTTAGAGCGCAGACTCGCGCGGTCTTCGAAGCCGATCCACTGGTCCTCCGAATAGGCCACGGAGCAGCGTGAGAAGCCATCTACTTCGCGGTGCCACTGCGAGGCGTTGCGTATCAGTGCTTCGGTAACCTCATAGTAGCTCGCCAGACCTGATCTATTTGTGTGGCGAAAGGGCCGGCCGGGACCTAGAACACTCATTCCTGCACGGGTCATTTTTATCCAGTGTCGCTTGAGGGTAAACGTTGTGCTGGCAAACGAGACACTCAGCACGGTCTTTACAAGCATGTGATCCGTGACCATAGACAAATCATCGAGTACCGAGGAAAGACCCATCTGACCGTTGTGGCGTGCCCTGAACACTGGCCGCATCGGGCTCTGGCACGTGGCGACCGGGAATGTTGCCGGGTTCACGGTCCGGTGTGTGTCCACGACGACGAAGTCCAGCCGGCTGTAGAGCGCGGGGACGTGGTAGCCTTCGCGTCTCCTGGTAGCATCCCACGGTATAACAACGCTCACTCGGAGTTCCTCCTGGTCAAAAACGACGCGCATGGTGTTCACGAAAGTGCTGAAATTGGTGCGATCATCTCGGGTCGGGTACTTCCAGTAGAGAACCAGACCGGTGAGTCCATTTCGACGCGACCAGGATGCCGCGTTGTGCACGAACGCGAGCCGCGACCTCCTCTCGCGCATCAGTAGGCGGAAGTCTTCCGAATCTGCGGCCTCGCCGCCGACGCAGGCCCAAGTAGGCGCCGAGAGCGCGACCATTTTAAGCAGTGCCTCGGCATCTTCCACGGGGCGCTTGAAGCGCAAGTCTCGCTTCTCCACGTCTAAACCCAGGGATACGAAGACGTGCGCGTCGCAGAGTATGGCCGACGCGTTGTCCACGTCGAAATGGTGCGGAGAGCCGGGTGCAGCGCTGTAGTTCGCGAAACATAAAACGATGCGGCTCGCGTCTTCGTCTGATTGTCGTTGCATGGCGATTTGAGCACCAGACCGACCGTACTGTTGTTGGGCGTCCGAACTTGCAGCGAAGGTGACCCCCATCTGCGGTACGGCGTCGTCGTTGATTGACGTCCAGTAGTGCTCGAAAACGGCCGCGACAATGGCGATGCACGCGCTGGTCACAGTGAGCACACCGAGGACGAGCAAAGCCATGAGGCAAAAATTCTGGTCGCGCATTATGTAGCGCAGAATGGATTCGTCGTCGTTGGAAATACGTCGCGAGGTACTGCGGCGAGCAGCGGGGGCGTCATTGTCTTCCATGGCTCAGTGATATTCAAGGTGAACGTGAACCAAGCAAACCACGCGAATGCTTTCAACGGTAAGAATTGAATCACGAAAACCCCGCGGCACCAACGAACATCCTGAAAGTCACAGCGATGCCGGTAGAGCCTCCGCTTCACGAAACAGCACAAGCTGTTGTTTGGTTGACTGTACCTGTTCTCTGGTTGACCAAACAGAGAAATGACGCAACTCCTCGTGGCCTCGCGACTGGGATGATGATGATGATAGCCCGGTGTCACGAACACAGAGCAATACAACAGAAACCCTTTGTTTTTCATGGAAAGTTACACTTACTGTCCATGTACACGAATACGAAAAAGGAAGAACAACCTTGGTGTAAAACAACACTAGTGCAGCATAGAAAGCGATCGAGTGAACGCGAGAGATCGGGTTTAAAGAGAGAGCGAGGGAGTATAGACAGTGACATCGGTGTGGTATAGTGGCTTAGGAACCGCTTCTCTTTCTTGACCCCAGGTGGCGCCATGCTCATGTGGAGGAAAATGGAGGAAGCGAACCAGGAAATTGACTGGTAAATACTTAGAAAACACCAGGTGGCCACACCAAAAAGAACTATCGGTAAGAAGAAAGTGAAGGAAATGGAGACTGACATGTGGAGAATTGACATGATTAAGAAGTCTGCACTAGAGATCTATCGAGCTTTTAAGCGGGAAATTGCCAAGGAAAGGATCTATGATAACACTCGGGGTAGTTCTCTACTGTTTGAGGCCAGGACGGGGGTATTGCGAACCAAGACATATCGTGCCAAATACGAAGGGGTAGACACAGTATGCAGTGCGTGTGTAGAGGAAGAAGAAACTGCCGAACACTTGATAATGTTCTGTAAAGGGTTCACCCTATAGTTCAGGGTGATGGCGTAGAGTTTTTCAAAGCACTGGGGTTTAGTAACAGGGAGGGCAAAATAGACTTTAAGCGGGTAGACTTAACTAGAAGGAGGTTATCTGATTGGTGGCTAAAGTCAAGGCACGAGTGAAAATTAAACCCTCCACTGCAAAGTACGAATCCTCAACCTCTCTATTTAAAGGAAAAAAAAAGATAAATGTAATGGTTAGGTCACTAAGTATTACGGCTAGGTGGCGTTAGCCGCCACCCGATCTGAAGGGTACAGTCACATCCATATTACAGGGGTGGAAGTTCAGCGCCAGTCTGGCGTATACTGCGCAAAGGTGTGCATACGCGGCAATTTCCGCGTATAACGACAAATTTAGTCAAGTATTATTTATAACCGACCGAGCGACAGGAGGATACCCGAAGGACGCAGCCGCATTCAGTCGTTTATATCCCGTGTATTTCGGTCACGTCGTATATCGGCGTGACCATGCACAAATTTGAGCCACGTGAATGAAACGAGTGAACTTTGCTCAGGTGGCATTTGCGTGCAGACATCATTACGAGAACCCATTTTCTAGCAGCGAAGCTGTAAGTCCAAACGGCGGTGGGGCTCCAAAAAACTCTCCGCGCCGTTGCCAAGCAACCGCCGAGCACAGTGGCACAGCTCGCGCTCTGCGATGAAAACCGTTAAACCAATGAACTAAAAAAAAACGAAGATCAGCTTCACCACAAGGGTGGAGCAATTATTGCAATATCAAGAAAATGTAATGTAACTTTAATGCCACTGGCGCGCCTTTTTAATTTTATGTTAGTGCACCGTAACACCTGTAACTGCTGCCTAGCGCGAACTGCGCCCCAATGACTGGCAACAATCCAGATAATTTTGGAACCTTCCGATAAGATTACGCGCATGACGCGTATACATTAAATTTTGTCCTGGAAGTTATGCGGTCGCTAGCAATGACGCTGGAATCTATGAAGTCACATGTATCGCGCTTCACCTGCCGATGCCCGACGAAGTGATTTTGATAAAGAAGACTCGGGAAGAAAAAAAGTACCGCGTCTTTGCAAAATCTGAAGTATCAAAATGTTTGAAATTAAATTTTAAATTTTTTTCCGTCTTTCTGTTTCCCTGTGTGTTTTTTCTTGCAGTTATATTTTAATGTAAACTCATTCTTAAACATCCATAGTGTACTGATCACATCACAGAAGAAGTACCGCGCTTTCTTTGGTCAATTCCCCTGAGTGAGTACATGAGCCACATTTTAAAGGAAACAAAGAGACGATCCACCCAACTCTTGGCCTATCTGTCTAAGTGGGTATAGGTGCGTAAATTCCAAAGATCACCATCATCCTCATAGGAAGACACCTCAAGAAAACGACACAGGGGGTGGGCTAATGGGGATAAAAAAGAGGAATAAAGAGGAGAGAAAAAAAATGACGCGGGAATCATCTAGTCTGCCCTCACGAGCACGCGTTCGAACAACTGCAACACGCAACCACCCGGAAAAGCCACCAAGAAGGCAGGCGAAAAGAATCACCAACGAAGCATGATGGGCCGGAATGGCGCAATAAAAGAAAACAAAAACATTTAAGCCTGCGCTGAACGCGCAACACTGTCACAGCGAAAGCTAGAAGAGCGGTCTTTAAGCGCTCTTTTTAACACTCTTTGCGTAGCTGCTGCAAGCACACTTGCAGGGTTCCCACTACGCCATTAATCATTGTGTAATAGGAAGGCATTCCCTATGTCATCCTTCGTCGTTCACGATGCGTGGTATTCGCTAAACACTTGCATCGCGATTTTCGGGCGAATTTCGTTTTTCATGCAGTGGCTGATGACGATGAAGAATTACGCCTGAAGTGGGTATGTGCCACAGTTAACAGGTGGTGAAGAACAACCTTTTGTAATGGGTGAGCATTGAACGACCCACCCGTTACGCAATTCGCATTGTGTGACGCCTGTTGTCCTTTTGCTGTTCTAAAACGCTTTATTCAAGCCTGCCTAAGGGAAGGCTTGCCTAAGGGACATCAAGCCTGCCTAAGGGAAGTTTGCAAAAGAGTCCCAAGCGCCGGCGTAGCTCAGCGGTACATTACTGGGCTGGCACGCAGTGGACCAGCCCAGGAATGTCACCATGTCGTCGGCTTTCCATATATTAAGTTTTTTCTTTCTTATTTCGTGCAATAGTGGTTACAGACACCGGCGGTGGCGGCGGACAAATATGACACCATGCGCCACCCGTGTCGAGATCTCAAAAAGCTTTTGCTGTAAAACGGGACCGCGCGAAGCACTCACCTGGGTGTGTAGCCCAGACACTAAAGAAAAAAAAATCATATATCCACGGAGTGAATGATGATGAGTGGGGCGAAGCGTCCGTCGGCGCATGCTTCCGTAGTTTATGTATCCGTCCGCGCGTCCGTGCATCCGTATGTCCGTCCGTCCACCAGTCGGTTCGTCTGTACATCTGTCCATCCGTCCGTTCGTCCATCAAGTGAGCACTCCAAGTACCGCCATTTCACATATTTTCATCATATATTCATCATATACAAGTACCAACATCCAGCGGACATTCCAAGGACTAAACAAGAGGTGGCTACATACTACTACTACTGGTACTACTACTACTACCACTACTACTACTACCACTACTACTACTAATACTACTACTACTACTACATACGACGCAGACGCACGACCCATGGCATAAAGAGTATCGCCCCTAAAAAAAAGAGAGTTCAGCCGAACTCACCGGTGGGAGTCCTGTTAGCCTTGATGTGGTCAAAATCCAGCCGCCTAAATCCTCTGCACGATGACATCTTGCGCAGCGAGAGCCGCAGCACACAATCCACGCACCGTAGAGTTAACCGGCAGGAGCACGGCACAAGAGACCCGTATATAAAATACATGGTGTTGGAAATGTAAACGTTTGATTTTTTTGTTAGTTTTCTTGTATAATCTACTGGTTGTATAACATAGTTGCAGTTCATAATAGTTGCTTTCCAGTGTTTAATAATGTTCTAGTGTCTTGTCTATGTATTCTTTTCTTTAACATTGTTCGTCAGTGCCCGCACCCATCTGCAATGCTGTAAAGCCCTGAGGGTACAATAAATAAATAAATAAATAAATAAATAAATAAATATCCAACGGAGTGGGTGACAGGTTCGTTGAGATCGAGGAAGCGTCGGACGCACTCGAAGGAGGGTGAGCGGCAGTTGCCAACGTCGAGCGGCCACCACCGGTGACGTCATCACGGAAGGAGCATTCCGTTCACGACTGCCGCCGACAGTGGGTATGATAAAAGAGAAGGCGAACAAGAACAACACGCATTTGACTCAACTGGTGAGAAAGAAGCCGAAGGTGAATCACACCGTCTTACTCACTTAAGATTTCCGTGGAAAATTCGTTGGTGTCCTACAAGACAGTTGGAAACAATAATAACCAGATTTCGATGTCGTGTCCCCCCCGTTATATTTCTATTCACATAGGGCTGGTCTGGCGATATGACCACTATGCAACTTTTGTTCAGAATCGGAAACAATGGAGCACTATTTTTTTATTATGTCGCCGATACAAAATGCTCAGGAAAACATTCTTAGTCCTCCCATTCGCTAGCCTGGGGCTGAATTTCACTATAGAAAACATACTTTCCTTCGGTGCTTACGATCTGGGCTTCAGCCACGAGAACGTTTTCTACGCAGTTTGCAAGTACCTTAATGAAAGTAAAAGAATTAAGCTTTTAATTGCATGATTATTATTCCAGCAAAAAAATCCAGCATACACAAGAGCATTGTTTAACCATGCTGATTCCTATTCAAGGTAATGAATAATTGTCTTTCCTGAACGAGTGACAAACAACTATTGCACTCCTTTCGTTCTGCCTTTTCTTTTTTCTTTCTTTCTTCCGCTGGGTGGTTTCGATATTGAATAAAAAAATCTTACTGAATTAAGTCATCGATTCTTGGCTGATCCCCCTGAGCGGGTGCGAGCCATGGCTGTGGAATCATCATCATCATCATCATCATCATCATCACGAAATGGGTCAAGTGGAGAGCGTCGAAGAGGCGACTATTGGCGGTGATTCTGCCGAAGCACCCGCCAGACACGCGACACAGGCCGAGGACTCGCGTGCCGC